CCACATCCGCGATAATTTCATCCTCCAAATAACCAAATATCTCCTGTATCTCTTGTCTTAATTTCAAGCTCGGCCTATCATGCAGGACAGCCGAGCCCGGCCTAATTGGGTCGTGTTCTTTTATAATGTTGACATATTTATTTATAAGAATTGACTTCAATATGGTTTTGCGTTAATATAGAGGTACAGCGCTCGTAGCTGTATTTGTATTGCATCATTTTCATGGCTTGCAGAGACAGGTACCACAATACGAGGTGTGGACAGGTACCACAATACGAGATGTGGACAGGTACCACAATACGAGATGTGGACAGGTACCACAATACGAAATGTGGACAGGTACCACAATACCAGATGTGGACAAATATCACAATACGAGATGTGGACAGGTATCACAATACGAAATGTGGACAGGTACCACAATACGAGGTGTGGACAGGTACCACAATACGAGATGTGGACAGGTACCACAATTCAAATTCATTTACTCCTTCGAACCATCCTATCATAAATAGCATTATATGATTGCAAAGATCATCCACTGCACAGTCTATGAAATAAACACGATACAAAATACTCTTCGCGAACAGATACGGTAGACAGCAACTGGTGGTAAAGAGGTCTAATCAGGTGTATTTTCTGACATGCTATCGACATGCAAATGGAATGTCTACTGATAAAGATATATAACGAGACGGGCAGAATATTTTTTTCATGACCTCGTGTGAATAGTGCTTACAAGCACGTGTTACTGACAGTACATGGAACATTGAGGACAATCACAGAACAAATGTCTCTTCCAGTAGTACACGATGCTTAGTATCCGATCGCCATCACGTGTGGAGAATGTGCCCCTTGATGGGTTTGTGAAACAGATTGGGCGAAGTTACCTTTTGTAGTATATGCATAATATGGGCATACCAAAAGAAAACTATATTCATGTTCAGTTAATTCGTTGGGGGTCGGGTAGCCTAGTGGTGACAGCATTCGCTCGTCACGCCGAAGTCCCTGTTTCGATTCCCGACATGGGTACAATGTGTGAAGCCCATTTCTGGTGTCCCCCGCCGGGATATTGCTATAAGCGGCATAAAAATCAAACTTTTCAAAATCTTAATAAACTGCGGGCAAAAGAATGCATGCACCCATGTTTGATAGGGACTAAGAATAAAACAAATAAGAATTGGTTATTCGATGGTGATGTATTTTATATGGGTATCATAGATGTGGTTTGGACCTCAAGTTTGCAGATATGGTGACTGTTTTAAGCCAAAGGACATTTTGATAACGTTTGTATAGGTAAAATCCATTTTTGTTTAAGTGTATGTTTTCTTTTGCCTGCAGTTTTTAGAAAGAAATATACAAACAGACAACTAGCGTAGCACCAGTGCTGATTCATGGCCAAGTAGTTATTATTATGACAATAACTGTATGCAAACAGTAACACGATGTACACACACTGACATTGATGCACGGACAACATATTCTGATTCAACCTGCTGCAATAACTTGTTATTGGACCACAGATTCCGAGAGATTCATCTTCCAGAGTCAAGGGAGTAAACTGACGTGGAAACTGGACTTTTATAGTCAGTTAACCTCCTTGCCTGGGGAAGAATGGAGAGATTTGACTTAGTTTATTCTAGGTCATGTTGTTGAATGCTTTTGATGTTGAGAAGTGAACATGAGTTAAATAATTTAATGTCAGGATGCTAAAAGCATTTAGAAAACAAAAACATTAATACAATACTCTTACACACAAGAAATAGTTTACATGTCATGACACACATATTCCAGCATTGAAAAAAGTAAACATAACACAACGCTGACTGATAAGGAGGTCAGCCAATCAGGTGGCTCGCTCGATTCCGCCCGCGTTTGAAATCTGCTTGCGCTCGGGGTTGGTAACATTTTCCCAGCTCGCGAAATAAACTGTCGATATTTCGGTAAGTAAGGGACATCAATCGAATGTAGATGACTTGTACACGTGTAGAAATGTGTTATCGATCAATCTACGGCCAGAAATGCGCTTGTCAATAAGCGTACGATATAAAAATAGCCTTGGATATCGAATGTAAACAAACCGGCTAGATGGCGAGTGACGCTCATTTTCTCTACTTCGTTATAGGGGGTATATACTAGTATTTTTATTTACTGACCAATAACGAGTTCCTGTGATCCGATTCCATCACTTGCACTTATTTCAAACAAAATGGCGGCGCCAAGTCAAGACGATCTGATCGTTAATCAAGATCTATATATATTGTGATAAAACGTGTCTTACATCGTGAAGTGCATCACATCACGCGAGCACCTTGATAAGGTTTGGAAAATATCTGTTGACAACGAGTTGCCGTTGCACATGCTTTGCAAACCCTGCAATCGACCGTAATCTGACGACAGATATCTATTTCATTGCGAGATTTTGATTGGACTATGCATCGACTCGTTAGTCCAGCCAAAATGTAACTCCATAATACCAGCCTAGTTCGGCAAGGGTGTAAACTGAACATTTATTGTCAGTTAACTACCTTGCCTCGGGAAGATGAAGTATGGGTTGCTGAAGACCTATTCTACCCCGGATCTTCACGGGTTTTGACAGTGGGCTCTGTAGCTCACCTGCTTTATATCAAGGATGTCGGTCATCATTTCAGTGTCCTTGAAACTTGCATATAAATATGTAATTTTTTTTGGAAGTTTACACAAAATACGGCTCTTCTGTTGGACGAGAGGTCGGTCACATGACCGCGAAATTTACGTTCATAAGTGTATGGATGACACAATTTGATGTTCATACGTTTTTCACGAGACCAAATTCATGAAATGACGTACCGTATTTTCTTGAGTATAGTGCGCACTTTTTTTCCGAAAAAAACAACTGTGTAGAAGGGGGTGCGCATTATACACGAATTATGAGTTTGGATGTTTTTTTCCCGCCATGGAAAGACATTACCATGAGCACGAAACACCGGAAATACCATGTTAACAAATCCATACTAAAGTACGCAAAATAATTATGTAATTGCACTGTCTGTCTATAAAAAGTACACACACTGACGGACTACATCCACATTCCTGGGGCAACCCCTGGGAATTCCCAAGCACGAATACACACAAAATCAAACAATGAGAGTTCAACAACATGCCAAGATTTACCTAAGTGTAAAGAAACAACGCCATAGGCCGCTTGCAGGCAGGGGACATCCCGATCAGCTGTAGCCAGGGTTTTCAATGTAGCGCCCAGCGCCATCACACGGCTATGGGATCGGTTTCAGCAGCATTGGTCAACACGTGATCGGCCAAGGTCAGGACGACCAAGAGTATCAATACTGCCCAAGATCGTTACATTCGACTGCGCCACCTACGTGAAAGGACGACTACAGCCGCATCCCAAATACCCGGACTGGGTAAAATCTCCAACCAGGCCGTACAAAACCGTTTAAGAGCAGCAGGTCTACGAGTAAGACGGCCTGTTCGACGCGTCATATTGAGTCAACAACATCGTCAACGACGACTGCATTGATGTCATCAACACAGGGTATAGCCTCAACTGCGATGGGGAGATGTCTGATCCAGCGACGAATCAAGATTTCACGTCCGTCGAGGGGATGGAAGAGCACGGGTCTACAGACGTCGGGGAGAACGTTACACCGGAAACTGCGCACAGGAAGTGGACTGGTTTGGTGTTTGTAGCGATTCGCTGTGCAGAGTTGCGTACCTTGGGTACGCCAGAAACCTATGATTGTGGGTTTGAATCCTGGTTCGCCCCGATTATGTTTCTAGGTTTGTCAGCACAATACCCGTGTTCGCGGGTTTCGCCGAAGTGGCAAACTTCTAAGACCTTCTAAAACTAACTTTACATGAAACTATCAATCAACATCCACTTTACAAGAAACTATCCCTAAATTCAGACTTTACAGGAAACTCTCCCTTGATCACTAACTTTACATGGAGCTCACTCTCAATCCCCACTTTACATGAAACTGGTAATCAACATCCACCTAACAGAAAACTCACCCTAAATTCCCATTTTACAGGAAATTCCCCCTCACCACTAACTTCACAATCAACATCCACTTAACAGGAAACAATCCCCCAACACCCAATTTACTGGAGTGAGTGAGTTAAGATTTAACGTCACATCGGCAGTATTTCAGCCATATCGTGACGAGAAGTACATTAATAATACAAAGATTTGGCTAAATAAAAAGCTGTCAACGAAGGACAGTACATAACTAGGATATCACAGATTCAATTTAAAACTAGTTGAGAATATATAAAAGCCATAAGTATCAACAACACAATATAAAAATGGGCTGGGGATCGTCAGTAACTAAAGGGAGATCACCATACTAGGGACCATGGGGACCAATTTACTGGAAACTGTCCCTGAACACCAAATGTATGGGAAACTATCCCTCAGCATCCAAAAAACAGGAAACTATCCCTCAACATCGAAATTATAGGAAACTGTTCTTCAACGACCATTTTTACAGGAAACCGTCCCAGAACACCAAATTTACAGGAAACTCTTCCTCGACACCAACTTTACGGGGAACTATCCATCAATCCCCAATTGACATGAAACTGTCAATCAACATCCACTTTAAGGAAACTATCCCTCGACACTCAATTTACTGGAAACTATCCCTCAATACCCAATTTACTGGAAACCGTCCCTCAACACCCTAATTATAGGAAACTGTCCCTCAACACCAATTTTACATGAAACTTTCCCAGAACATCCACTTTAGAAGAAACTCACCCTCAATACTTTCTTTACATGCATCGCATATGTTTTGCCAATACTAACAAAAGTACACTGTCTTCACCGAAGTATACTCACCACACGTCGTATAATTTGAAACAGCTAGAGCAGCTACTTAAAACTTCATGCAGGATTTCGCCAAATAGAATATTTTCTATGCATAGAAAGATATAATTCGCATAAACATGAAATTTAACAAAATATTTAACCTTCAAAAATGCAAGAAAGGTCTTACGTTCTTCTCGCTGACGGGTGTGGTTGGGCTATGAGATCAAGGTACAGACTGATCACCTGATGTAATATATATTCCCCCTCGTGACAAGCAAAGGGGCCTGATCAGGGTTGTTGTGAATCTTAATAAATCTTAACTGACTGTACGGAATGAGACATACTTGTGTGTACTTCATAGTTTCGTAAATCTTGTTTTGTGTGTGAAGCGCGTCCCTGATTACCAAATACGTAAAGATTTGATCTCGTTTCTGTTGTCAATTACTTGCCGTCCCCATAATGCGCCTCTTCATAAACGAGGACCTTTTTAAGTTGTGAGATAAGAACTGGATATTTGCCAGGGTTAACACACCTTGTGCAAAGTCCAACACAGTACACGGTGACACAAGTTATATCGTTGCCGTGGCTACCAGTCCATTTCACTATAGGTATTTACAATGTAAGATCATATTTGCATACATAACGACTTTCGACTTTAGTTTGTATGTTGTTTGATGCCGCACTCAGCAATTTCATATAGTTGTCCAGTATTTTGTGTGTTGATGGTTAAAAAAGCAGTTTGTGAAGTTATTATTAGCATTTAGTGCTCAGAACGAAATGTCAGACTTGTGACCGCCACTACACGTATGTCATCTTGTGGCGTGGCATCGGCATTTGCGCTCCAGCCTTCAGTCATACAACACGTATTTGATATTCATGCATTCATCTGCCGTTTGTAGCACCCAACCACCCTCTTGTCCTGAAATACTAGCTCTTCAAGCTTTGCACATGGGATGTTTGGCAAGGGTAGCTGCTGCATTGGGTTTGCTAAGCATGAGCTGAGCTCGATTTCTTCAGTCCACCACTACCTCCACATCCGCGATAATTTCATCCTCCAAATAACCAAATATCTCCTGTATCTCTTGTCTTAATTTCAAGCTCGGCCTATCATGCAGGACAGCCAAGCCCGGACAAATGGGGTCATGTTCTTTTATAATGTTGACATATTTATTTATAAGAATTGACTTCAATATGGTTTTGCGTTAATATAGTGGTACAGCGCTCGTAGCTGTATTTGCATTGCAACATTTTCATGGCTTGCAGAGACAGGTAGCACAATACGAGGTGTGGACAGGTACCACAATACGAGATGTGAACAGGTACCACAATACGAGATGTGGACAGCTACCGCAATACGAGATGTGGACAGCTACCGCAATACGAGGTGTGGACAGGTACCACAATACGAGATGTTAACAGGTACCACAATACGAGATGTGAACAGGTACCACATTACGAGATGTGGACAGGTATCACAATACGAGGTGTGGACAGGTACCACAATACGAGATGTGGACAGGTACCACAATACGAGGTGTGATTGGCTTTGAGTCCTAATTGTTTTAGATTTATTCGCATCAATAAAACCAACGTGTACTTTAATCCATCATAACCCATTTCACAAATCAAGAAATACATACATTAGGATCTTGCTCAGTAGCAATTCAAATTCATTTACTCCTTCGAACCATCCTATCATAAATAGCATTATATGATTGCAAAGATCATCCACTGCACAGTCTATGTAATAAACACGATACAAAATACTCTTCGCGAACAGATACGGTAGACAGCAACTGGTGGTAGAGAGGTCTAATCAGGTGTATTTTCTGACATGCTATCGACATGTAAATGGAATGTCTACTGATAAAGATATATAACGAGACGGGCAGAGTATTTTTTTCATGACCTCGTGTGAATAGTAGACTTTGCAGTCGATACTGACTGCAGCCTCAGGTTGAATTACGTGCTTACAAGCACGTTTTACTGACAGTACATGGAACATTGAGGACAATCACAGAACAAATGTCTCTTCCAGTAGTACACGATGCTTAGTATCCGATCGCCATCACGTGTGGAGAATGTGCCCCTTGATGGGTTTGTGAAGCAGATTGGGTGAAGTTACCTTTTGTAGTATATGCATAATATGGGCATACCAAAAGAAAACTATATTCATGTTCAGTTAATTCGTGGAGGGTCGGGTAGCCTAGTGGTGACAGCATTCGCTCGTCACGCCGAAGTCCTGGTTTCGATTCCCGACATGGGTACAATGTGTGAAGCCCATTTCTGGTGTCCCCCGCCGGGATATGGCTATAAGCGGCATAAAAATCAAACTTTTCAAAATCTTCATAAACTGCCGGGCAAAAGAATGCATGCACCCATGTTTGATAGGGACTAAGAATGAAACAAATAAGAATTGGTTATTCGATGGTGATGTATTTTATATGGGTATCATAGTTGTGTTTTGGACCTCAAGTTTGCAGATATGGTGACTGTTTTAAGCCAAAGGACATTTTGATAACGTTTGTAATTGATCAAATCCATTTTTGTTTAAGTGTATGTTTTCTTTTGACTGCAGTTTTTGGAAAGAAATATACAAACAGACAACTAGCGTAGCACAATTGCTGATTCATGGCCAAGTAGTAATTATTATGACAATAACTGTATGCAAACAGTAACACGATGTACACACATTGACAGTGATGCACGGACAACACATTCTGATTCAACCTGCTGCAATAACTTGTTATAGGACCACAGATTCCGAGAGATTCATCTTCCAGAGTCAAGGGAGTTAACTGACGTGGAAACTGGACTTTTATAGTCAGTTAACCTCCTTGCCTCGGGAAGATGGAGAGATTTGACTTAGTTTATTCTAGGTCATGTTGATGAATGCTTTTGATGTTGAGAAGTGAACATGAGTTAAATAATTTAATGTCAGGATGCTAAAAGCATTTAGAAAACAAAAACATTAATACAATACTCTTACACACAAGAAATAGTTTACATGTCATGACACACATATTCCAGCATTGAAAAAAGTAAACATAACACAACGCTGACTGATAAGGAGGTCAGCCAATCAGGTGGCTCGCTCGATTCCGCCCGCGTTTGAAATCTGCTTGCGCTCGGGGTTGGTAACATTTTCCCAGCTCGCGAAATAAACTGTCGATATTTCGGTAAGTAAGGGACATCAATCGAATGTAGATGACTTGTACATGTGTAGAAATGTGTTATCGATCAATCTACGGCCAGAAATGCGCTTGTCAATAAGCGTACGATATAAAAATAGCCTTGGATATCAAATGTAAACAAACCGGCAAGATGGCGAGTGACACTCATTTTCTCTACTTACATATAGGGGGTATATACTAGTATTTTTATTTACTGACCAATAACGACTTCCTGTGATCTGATTCCATCACTTGCACTTGTTTCAAACAAAATGGCGGCGCCCAGTCAAAACGATCTGATCGTTAACCAAGATCTATATATATTGTGATAAAACGTGTCTTACATCGCGAAGTGCATCACATCACGCGAGCACCTTGATTAAAAACATGAAAAGGTTTGGAAAATATCTGTTGACAACGAGTTGCCGTTGCACATGCTTTGCAAATCCTGCAATCGACCGTAATCTGACGACAGTTTACGAACCGGATTTCTATTTCATTGCGAGATTTTGATTGGACTATGCATCGACTCGTTAGTCCAGAGAAAATGTAACTCCATAATACCAGCCTGGTTCAGCAAGGGTGTAAACTGAACTCTTATAGTGAGTTAACTACCTTGCCTCGGGAAGATGAAGTATGTGTTGCTGAAGACCTATTCTACCCCGGATCTTCACGGGTTTTGACAGTGGGCTCTGTAGCTCACCTGCTTTATATCAAGGATGTCGGTCATCATTTCAGTGTCCCTGAAACTTGCATATAAACATGTAATTTTTGTTTGAAGTTTACACAACATACGGCTCTTCTGTTGGACGAGAGGTCGGTCACATGACCGCGAAATTGACGTTCATAAGTGTATGGATGACACAATTTGATGTTCATACGTTTTTCACGAGGCCAAATTCATGAAATGACGTACACACTGACGGACTACATCCACATTCCTGGGGCAACCCCTGGGAATTCCCAAGCACGAATACACACAAAATCAAACAGTGAGAGTTCAACAACATGCCAATATTTACCTAAGTGTAAAGAAACAACGCCATAGGCCGCTTGCAGGCAGGGGAATCCCGATCAGCTGTAGCCAGGGTTTTCAATGTAGCGCCCAGCGCCATCACACGGCTATGGGATCGGTTTCAACAGCATGGGTCAACACCTGATCGGCCAAGGTCAGGACGACCGAGAGTAACCACTACTGCCCAAGATCGCTACATTCGACTGCGCCATTTATTTGAAAGGACGACTACATCCGCATCCCAAATACCCGGATTGCGTAGAATCTCCGACCAGACCGTACGAAACCGTTTAAGAGCAGCAGGTCTACGAGTAAGACGTCCTTTTGACGCGTCATATTGAGTCGACAACATCGTCAACAACGACTGCATTGATGTCGTTAACACAGGGTATGGCCTCAACTACGATGGGGAGATGTCTGATCCAGCGACAAATCAAGATTTCTCGTCCGTCGAGGGGATGGAAGAGCACGGGTCTACAGACGTCGGGGAGAACGTTACTCTAGAAACTGCGCACAGGAAGTGGACTGGTTTGGTGTGGGTAGCGATTCACTGTGCAGAAATGCGTCCCTTGGGTACGCCAGAAACCTATGATTGTGGGTTCGAATCCCGGTTTGCCCCGATTATGTTTCCAGGTTTGTCAGCACCATACCCGAGTTTGTGGGTTTCACCGAAGTGGTAAAATTCTAAGACCTTCTAAAACTAACTTTACATGAAACTGTCAATCAACATCCACTTTACAAGAAACTATCCCTAAATTCAGACTTTACTGGAAACTCTCCCTTGAACACTAACTTTACATGGAGCTTACTTTCAATCCCCACTTTACATGAAACTTTCAATCAACATCCACCTAACAGGAAACTCACCCTAAATTCCCGTTTTACAGGAAACTCCCCCTCACCACTAACTTCACGTGAAACTTTCAATCAACATCCACTTAACGGAAAACTCACCCTAAATTCCCATTTTACAGGAAACTCCCCCTCACCCCTCACTTCACATGAAACTTTTAATCAACATCCACTTAACG